GGTGCAGTGAGTGACAAGTGACGAAGCATATATTGACAATGAAGGGTGCGGATAATAACAACTAACTATGCATCAGAATGTAATACACAACTAACTTTTATTTATAACTTCATATACATGTAATTACACGGATTTTATATCCCCATTAAAAAAACATATAGTTGCATGTATCCACTATTAAACTAATTATTTGTGTGTGTTGTAACATCTACAAAAAAAATTAATGTCATTTCTATTTACGAAAAAATTCTTTTGCTATCATTCGTCTAGGATCAAAGTGGTTTTTTTTTTCTTTTGCCTCATGTAACTACTCACCCTTCTTTGTTGCCTCTTCTTCCTCTTTTTGTGACATCTACCAATGAGTCAAGGGTACAGAAGGTTATGGTCTTTGTGTAAAAAATTTAAAAAATCAGTTAATGTAAATCTGTACAATGCTGTTACTATTGACAAGTCAAAGAGCTATACTGACAACTGTCACGGCCCTATTGACAACATATTTTCCTATTTCGTATTAAGGGTTTCTAATCACACCAACCTTCATCTTTCTCATCAATTCCCCCTGAACCATGCCCAGACAGAGCAAGCCCACCTTCAATCCACCCACAATATACCCAGAAACAGAACACCCATAATCACCCTATCTACCTATAATAAAACCCCAACTTGAATGACCAAACACACACCAAACCAGAAACACAAGTGATTTTTGCCAATGATTAACATTAATAGAGTGGATGAGATTTTCAGATGGGAGTGGGGGAAGAAGCAGAATGAAGTTTGGGTTTTTTCACTCTTGCTTCCTACGTATAGAGTGCTGATTTTCAGACTGAAAAACATAGCAGCTTTGAGTTAGTTTAGATGCATCTCACCAGGGGCAGAGGCGTCTTTTTACAATTTACCAAATTGCACTCAAGTCCCTTTGAGACTTCAGAATCATTACCAAATTTACTGGGACTTTTTGTAGTATTTTGTGTTGTATGGGACCTTAGTGTCATTTTCTCATTATTTTTGCCCGAAAACTACGATTCAATCTTAATCATTAGCTGGCAGAGAAGTAGTTTACTTTTTCCATTTTTTTTGGGTCTGGGATCATAAAATAAGAGAAGAAGTCTACTAGCTGGTAGACGTAGAAGTCAGCTAATTTTTAAAAGTGGCGACTTGCTAGCTGAAGACCCAACAACTTTTTATGCAAATGAGGACCAGCACATCATTAGCACTTGTATTTAATAAAATTTGAATGGCTGATTATGGTATTACCAACGACAAACGACTTCGTACTTTATTATCAACAAACAAATAAGTAAAGCCGACTTTTGTTTTTCAAAAAGAAAATCAACATCAATTAGGTGTAGTTTTTGATGTTGGGAGAAACTGTGATGAAGCTGGGAAGAACCCTCCTCACAGTTGCTCAGCTAATATTTCGAAACAAATGTAAAAACAGAAAAATATTGAGCAGAACATTCATCGAACCTCAGTAATTTTGATATTATCGGCTGTTTTATTTGACATTATTACAGCCATCATCATTTGTTTAAGACCCAAGTTTCTCGTCTAGAAATCCGCAAGATGCGACGTGTAATATTCCTTCTGGTCCTAATTATATCAGTTAAGTAATTGTGAGTTTTGCTTTCAATGTTTGTTAGATGTAAGATTTAAATCCATTTTGTTTTCTAAATTATAATTTTTCTCTCAATAATTATCTCTATTGAATGCATATATCTGTAGAAATAGTTTCAAACTTTCAATATAATGGTCAAAGAGTGTTTTAGGAAAAAGAAAAAAAAGTTTTTTATATTTATCATATCAAGTTTTTTAATTATACATAGTTATGCATCTTTTTTGGTTTCATATGAATTTATTATTAAATGTTATTATCTTAAAAATAAAGCATAGGGTCATATGTAATTAGAAAACTTGATATAATGAATATAAGAAACTTGACGTAAGTATTGTTCTTAAAAAAATTTACAGTATTTTATTTTATATTTATATATATAACAACTAATTTTTTTAACATATAAAAATTAGTTATTTACTTCCTTGATTTAGAACCGGTAGGAGTATTAAATTAAGAAAAATATTATTTATGTATTTAAGAACAATTCTACTTGACTAAAATCGAAGTTTTAAAATAAAATCAGTGTAATATATATAAGACTTAGAGTATTATTCATAAATTTGAAAGGGTGCTGCTCATCGTTAACTACATATAAATGCACAAAGTTTATTCCTTTTTTTCCCCTCCCCAAGACACTATTTTACAAAGTTCATATTTAATGTAAAAGTTCGAAATCGAATATATTCCAGAGAAATGTAACAAAGAGGAATTTGGAGACCAGCAAAGAATCCATTTGTCTTTTGGCCAGGATTTGTTTACATTTTAAAAGGCTTTGGTTGTTAGCAAAATTTAAAATCTCCAGACATTTTCCATTCTTTGCCCCTAACTATGCTTTTAAAACCCTCTCTCTCCCTCTCTATGTGAACAGAGTGACATTATATGCAAGATGGTTGGGGAGGGAACAGGAGATGAATCTAATTTTATATTAATGAATTATTTAGAATAACACTAAATGTATGGATTTGATTCACATGTCAAGTTAATTAATGTTTCTTTTTTTTTTGGACGTGGCCAAGTGTTTCGTTTAATTATTAAATTAGTTTTTTGAATTCGATCCTCTTGCAATTTGTCAGTTCATTTACCTTTAATAATAAAGATAAATTGTAATCATATTAGTTGAATGTAATTAAACTATCTCTCTGGAATAAACATAATTAATTTATCATTTATATCACTTCACTAAATCCAATAAATCAATGAATATAGAAAAAGCCAAGAAAGCCAAAAAAAAATTATAGATTAACGAATAGCCAAATTAAGGGCACCACTGTATATATGTTCTCAGCTAAACAAAATATCCATCTATATTATTTTTACACATTATTATATTAATATTGATCATCTCAGTGATTTATGAAAAAAAAATTAAATTTGAAAAATTTTAGATCTCGTCACGTAGTGACTATAATATCATAAAGGAATAAAATATCATACATACGCTGTCTTGGCTTAACTGCTTAAGTTCTAAACCTTACACGGTTTGTGTCCTTCAAGCGTGTTCAGGGATGAGAAAAGTGAGTTGACTATGACTGAGACTTGGTCTTTCTACATAGCGTACCTTTTCTTATTAAATTCATGTACTCCTTTTTCCTTTTTCTCTTTTCTATATTATAGCGGATAATAAATTTGCTAGAACAACATATGTTCTTTAGTATTATATTATATATATATATATATCTATAGCATATTGTATAAGATAATACTAGCTCCAGTTCTTAATATAAAATTTTATTTGACTTTTATTTTAGTTTTAAATATAAGACCTCAATTTACTTTGTCTATGATATTTATATATTTGTTTTCAAGGTAGTCATTCTAATAATGGTAGTTCTAACCAATACACTTAATTAGCAAGGATATTTTAATAAAGACAATACCTATTTATTACAAATAACTAACTAACTAACTTATTTTTTTAATATTCTCAAATTAATTAGTTAGCTCTTATAATTAGGATGGGGTAGTATTATTTTTATATTTAGTTGTAACATGAGATGAAATAAAGAAAGCATGTTTTAATTTAAAAAAAATTGAAAATTTATGTTGTACAAAATAAAAGTGATAAGGTAAAATTCCAAGAAGTAAATATTACTCCCTCCGTTCTTTATTATAAGAGACATTTGATGCTTATGGCATGTTCCCATATATAAGAGACACTTAAAAGTTGTCTCTATTTTTTTGTATTGATTTCCTATTTTACTCCTATTTATTTTGTCTCCAACTCATACTCTCTCTCCCTCCTACTTCTCTTTCTTTTAATAATTTAATTATTCTCTCATACTCTCTCTCTTTATTAATGGAGGCATTGTTAGAAAAAACATTATACTTTTTATACATTAATTGTCATCAACTAATTTTAACTGTTTTTTATCAATATAATTTGATTATTTGTCTCTTATAATAAGGAACGGAGGGAGTAACTAACATGGGAGTAACTAATCAATTTACCATTAACTTGTGACGGAGATGTTTCGAATTTTGACCTGTCAAAGGTAGAGAGGACAAGGGCAGTTATGTAAATTGAGTTACTGGCCTTTAGTTTCATTCTCGAATCCCAAGGCCATGGGAACACACTTTTTTGTCTATATGAATGGGACTCAGAGAGCTCTTTCTTCCGCACATCTTTTCAGCTCTGCAACACCTCATGTGCTCCTTTTCCCTTTTTCTCTTTTCTATATTATAGCAGATAATAAATTTGCTATCACAACATATATTCTTTAGTATTATATTATATATATAGCATATTGTATAAGACAATACTACTTTCGCTCTTTAATATAAAATTTTATTTGATTTTTATTTTGATCTTAAATATAAGATCTCATCTATTTTATCTTTAATATTTATGTATTTGTTTCCAAGGTAGTCTTCTTAATAATGGTACTTTTAACCAACACACTTAATTAGTAAAGATATTTTAGTAAAGACAATACATATTTATTATAAATAACTAACTTATTTCCTTAATCTCTTCAAATTAGTCAACTAGCTCTTATAATTAGGATCGGGCGAATATTATTTTTGTATTTAGTTGCAACATGAAATGAAATAAAGAAAGCATGTTTTAATTAAAAAATAATTAAAATTTTATGTTGTAGAAAATAAAAGTGATAAGGTAAAATTCCAAGAAGTAAGTACTAACTAATAAGGGAGTAAGTCATTAATTTACCATCAACTTATTACGGAGATGTTTCGAATTTTGACATGTCAAAGCTAGAGAGGAGAAGGGCAGTTATGTAAATTGAGTTACAGGCCTTTAGTTTCATTCTCGAATCCTAAGGCGATGGGAACACACTTTTTTGTCTATATAAATGGAACTCGTAGAGCTGTTTCTTCCACACATCTTTTCAGCTCTGCAACACCTCACTTCCTCTTCTTCTTCTTCATCATCGTCATCAGAGAAGCAGCTATCTAAACATAGAAATGGATCTTTTGTCTGGCAGAATCATCAAAATTCTGCTTTCAGTTTCTCTCTTGTCTCTTCTTTTCTCATCGCTTCCTCTGCTGTTCCAATCTCTCAACCAATTCTCAATCAACAAGTCCTACGTCTTCCTCTTCTGCAATGGCCTCATGGTCTTCATAGCTAGGAACTCTTCTCTCCCTGATGATTCCTCTTCAGCTCAATTCAAGGATTTGGGTATTGTAGTACCAGTTACTTCCCAAGAACACGATGTGTTAGCTGATTCCCCTGAGCAGGAAAAAGAAGAAGAAGAAGAAGAGAGAATGATAGGGGCAGATTCTCAGGAAGAAGACGCAGTAGCTGACGCAGAGAAGGAGGAAGAAGAAGAACAAGAAGAAGAAAAGAGAGTGATAATGGTAGATTCTCAGGAAGAAGACGCAGTAGCTGACACAGAGGAGGAGGAGGAAGAAGAAAAGAGAGTGATAATGGAAGATTCTCAGGAAGAAGACCAAGTTACTGACACTGCAGAGAAAGAATTGGTTGATGAAACAGATATAGAACATGAAGTTGCTGAGACAGAGAAGGAAGAAGAAGAAGGAAGGAATGGCGTTTGGATGACAGAGGAAGAAGAGGATGATGAGGTAGAGGAATTGAACAAGAAATGTGAGGATTTTATCAGACAGATGAAAGCAGCATTCTGTTCGGAGCTAGGTCTCACCAGTTATGGTTATAACCCTGATGTTGATCATCAGACAGCCATCGTAACTATGAGGTGAAAAGGTTTCAAGCCTCAGTATACAAACACCTGAAATAATTACATCAAAACATTGCATATTTTGTTTGTGGCTGTACTATTTACTTAATCATCTCATATCATTAACTGGGCATCCCAGATTTTTGCTTGTAGGGATTGTAGTTCTAGGCCTACATGTTTATTTCTGAGAGTATTGTGTTTGAGCACATGCAGTTTGGTGTACAATGTTGTGTTGTAATCAGAATACCAATGTTATCAGAATCGTAAGAACGGCTTCTCGATTTATTTCCAAAACAATCAAATAAAAATATATATAAATAAATAAAAGTGTATCTTTAATCTTTATTTTAACGTCACACACTGATTTTGTTTTGGTTTTTTTTTAAAATTTTATAAAATATATTTTTAATCTTTTAATCACAATATTGTTAGTTTTATTAATAAAAAAATTGTCAACATTAAAAGTTTATATATTGATAAAACATTCGATGAACATATTAAGTTTAATTAGCATAAAAAATCACCATTTATGACGAACATATCAAGGTTAGAGAACTAAAAAATTACTTTACAGAAATTAAAAATAAATTAAAAATTTTGTATAACATTAAGGAATTAAATACAAGCTCATGGTGATTGGTGAAGAATTGTTTTATGATTGGTGAAGTATTTAGATTTTTGTCAAGCCTATAAAAAGAGTCTTGGATAGGATGGTTTTAAGTGTAAACTGTAACATACAAATAATAATAATAATTAAAAAAATATAATATGTTATTAAAATAATATTTTATTAGTTTTAAAAAAAACCCAACCCCCCTTTTTTCACGGAGAGTGAAAAATGGAGGGTTAATTAATGCAAAGGAAAAGAAGGGGTGAGGGACGACTGAAGGGAAATAGGATAAGGCGTAGGTAGTGGAAAGTTGGGGGCAATTGACCAAGAGTCTTTGGGAGGAGGTGTATTAAGTGAAAGGAGAATTTGGGGGAGGAGTAGTAAATGATGAAAGAAAAAGAAGGGGGGAAGGTATAGATGGAAGTGGAAAATGGGAGATGGGTGGTAGAAAATCAGATGTGAGGGTATTATATATATCATCATTCAAGTTATTTCTTTCAAGCCAGAGCAAGAGAGAGTGGGAGAGAAAGAGAGCGAGAGAAGAGAAAGAGAGAGCGAGGGGAAGAAAGGAAAATCAAGAGAGTGGAAATACATGCTGTCTGGAAGATAAGGAAAGATTTGATGATCATTTAGGTACACAAAACTACTTCTTATCAAATTTTCTTTATAAATATTTCCTATATATTTATAGCTTTATATTATTAGTATCATTATAATGTTTAGAGAAAATTTTATTGTTTGGGTATAAAGTAAATAAGGAGTTTTGACAATGTATGATCATAGAAATTTAAAGATACATTATTAAGAAATTTTAATCGGTTTATATTTACTCAATGACTGTTTTGAGAATTTTAAATTAAGATTTTAGTTGCAAAATTTGTTATTCGAAGATATAGAATATTTTGACCGATTAAATTCAAGTTAAATAATTTATTTGAGTTATTTAATATATTATTGATGTTTTAATCGGTTTAAATATTGAATAAGTTAAAGATATATTTTTGAAAGCTTGAAAAATTGTAAATTGAGAATTTTGTAAAATTAGATAAACCTACAGGTTGTTTATAATTTAAAAAGACGTTGTTTGGTTTGAGGAAAAATTTTAAAGGAGACTATAATAAATAATTTAGAATTTTAATATAAAATATTTAGATTTTGGGTAATAAAAATATATTTACTTAAGTTGTTAAATTTAAATAGCCTTATATGTAAATTATATTTTTCAAAATAATATTATATCTATTATAAATGCCTAGATTTGGGACAGTTAATATATTTATGTAATTTTGGTTTATAGGGTAGTCTTAAAATTTTAGAGTAGTTTTGGAGTAGTTCTGAATTTATATTAATAAATATTTATGTGCAATTTTGTAGACTCTTGAGAATTTTGGAGTAATCTTTGTGTGAATATTTGTAAGCTAAAGAGTACCACGTAACTCTAAAAATTCTTTCTTGTACATGTGAATTGTGTATGATTATATTGTGGATTTACTAATTATTATATTACTGAAATATAGTATTATGATTTTTTGTAAAATGAATGTTTTGGTATGTTACCTGATTTTATTAAGATTTGTTGCTAGTAATTATGATCAATATTTAAATATATTAATAGCTATGAAATTATCATGACTTACTGTTAAATGGTATATGAATTTTATTATTATCTTATTTTTAATAATATATTTGAGTATATTTATGATGTACCAATATTTGCATATGACATGCATTGTTGGGTTAATGATTGAAGGAGATTGCATGGATATAAATTACCACGTGGTATGACATCACTCGGTGCACAGTGGATGGCACTTGTCAAGGCCCCTTCTTCCATGTTTTTCTTTGGCCAGGAATTCATTGGAGCTGTGGGACATGTGACACCTCCCTATTCACAAAGGAGGGGAGCCATAGTCCGAGCTTGAACTCTATATCTTTAGCCGGATATATCTCTAGTATCGGTGAACTTGGAATAATTCAGTAAAATGGATTAGCTCCTATCAGACTATGTGTTAGCCTATGGCTCCAGTCAGCGGTATAAGAGTGGACGATAATATAAGGAAGGTAGCATATTGCATTATTTTTGGATATATTGAAAAAAATGAAATTGAATTGAATGTATCAAATCCGTGATTTTTAATATATACATGTATACATATATATAAACAGATTTTTGGGTTATCATATATGGTTTGTTTGTATAGGTTAGAATTTCAGTAGTTACTGAGACGTTTGATCTCACCCCCTATATTAATAATTTTCAGGCGAAGGATCTAGTAGGAATCAAGAGAAGGCACCAATAGAGTGAGTCGTGAAGGCTTTTGTGCTCCTCAAGCACATGCTATGTTATATTTTATTTGTCATGACTATAAGACTTTAAGAGTCTATTTTGTTGTTATGTTAAAAACATTTTGAAATTATAACTTTCTTGGAGTATTAGTAACGTATAGATTTTTATATGAAATATTTTATTAAGTATATGATATAATTATGAGAGGTGTTACATAAACACAAGCCAATACACTCTTGAGTGATGAGTGACATATACATTAACCTTGGTGAGGGATTTCCGATCCAGATTCCCTTTTATCAAGTAAATTGCTATGATCTTTGTTTTCTTGATTCATGATAAGAGTACTTGGATAAGAAAGATATTGAATCATTTGGTTTGCTTTTTGCTTGTGATTGAAACATTTACTTTTGTTTGATTTTCTTTTGCTCTTACTGCTCTTTAGTCTTCATTTGTTTTGCCTAGAAATGCAAAGACTAAGTGTAGGGGATTAATAAAGCCTAATTTTTATATATTTTATCCCACATTAATTCAGGATTTAAATGATAATTTTAAATTTAAATGGATTTTTATGTATTATTGAATTAATTGGTTGATTTTTGGATTTTTTGTAAAAAGTGAGATTTTGGATTGAAAATATAAATATTCTGTGATTTCCTATTTTTGACTTGGAATTAATTTTTCTGATTTCTTTACAAACAAGTCTCATATTTTTAGAAAGATTATTTTTAGAAAGTTTTCCAATTTTTTGCCTAATTTTTGTGCATATCTATTATTTAATTTTGATATAGATTATATTATACTCCATCCGTTCCTTATTATAAGAGACAAATAACCGAATTACGTTGATCAAAAAAGCAGTTAAAATTAGTTAAGAACAATCAATGTGTAAAAAATATAATTTTTTTCCAAAAATGCCCTCATTAATAAGGAGAGAGAGCATGAGAGAGAACAATTAAATTATTAAAAGAAAGAGAAGTAGGAGGGAGAGAAAGTGTGAGTTGGAGACAATAAATATGGGTAAAATAAGAAATCAACACAAAAAAGTAGAGACAACTTTTAAGTGTCTCTTATATATAGGAACATGCCATAAGCATCAAATGTCTCTTATAATAAGGAACGGAGGGAGTATTTGGATATAATCTACATTAATGAATGCACTTAATTTCTTGCAGGTCAAGAAAAAGCATATAAGAAATCTAATAATGTAAGATTATTTCTTAGAATTTAAATACAATCTAATAACTAATAGTAAGTGGATCAATTAATTACTAATAGATTTTAATTTTGGATCCACAAAAACTTTCTTTTCTCCTTTTAAAATATCCCCTCATTCCATAGTGAAGGCACGCCCAATATCCGAAGTTACTGATCACGTTGGGGCTCGCGGTCAAAATTGCTATTCAACTTCTTCATTCTTGGGCAGTGCCATGCACTCCCTCCCTTCACATGTCACGCGACCCATCAGCTATTCAATAACTATTCCCTCTCACATTCTTTTTTTTTTTTTTGTTGAGGCGATTCAATTCCCATATTCACATTATCATCACCTTCTATCAATTTATGGCCGCGGCATTTAACAACTTTGGGATTTAACAACTTTGGGAGAGGAGACATTTTGATGGCAGCTTGAGCTTTTTTGAGAGGCAACTTGGGGGAGCATAAAAAAAATTTAAACCTTGGACTAGTACTTGAAGACTATAAGAGAGTGAAATTTTATTTATCTTTTTAATTCAAAGACTTGAGATTATTTAGTTTAAAATAATTTTGAATTGTATTTTTGTGAGACAATTTAGTTTTGGATTGTAATTTTTATTCTTGGATTGGATTGATATTTGGATCTTATTTGTGTTGAGGCACTTGCTAGAATTTATGTTTAGGAACCTTTGCATTGTTAATTGAATTTATAATTGAGTTTTCATTATGAATTTAATTATCAATGTGGTTTGAATTACAAAATTTGGGTTCTTTTGCCTCTTAATTGTTTAATTAAGTTGGTTAATTGTCTAATTGTTTAATTGGATAATTTCAAACATAATTTTCAGAATTAATTTGAGTTATTTTCATTGTTTTAATAAGCTTAATTAACCAGCCTTATACTATTATGAGTTCTCTAATAGTTTAAGGGTTTTTGAAATTGAGGGTTCTCTTTGTTTCAAA